TCTTATATTTGTCCACAAGCATGGCATACTGAATTATCTAGAAAGAAAAAGACTTGTTGTGTTTGTTAAAATAGATGGCACAACCAGGTGAAAGAAAATGGAGACTGATAATGTTGGGTAGCAGCAAGAAATTTTAGAACAATGTTAATGGATTAAAACAATGTAGGCAAATTCAATGGTTAGGTGAGTTAAAGGTAACAAGAGTAATCTTTTAGAGTGCAGCAGGATCAACAGGGTACTCAGTGATGATACGAATACTAAATATAAGCAATATAGCTTCAGATTCTAATAAAAAAGACAATCATTAAACATGTATTTGTCTGTAGGAATTGCCTGATAATTTTTACATTTCTTATATAACAGGGACATCTTGAGCTTAGCGGATTTATGTTCTTTGCAGTGAACATTTGCAGAAAAAAAAAAAGACACAATTCTTATGGTTAATGTTGTTTTAGGTTGTAGAAAAATCTTGATAATTTCAGATTATACTTGAAAAATGATGGATTTCCTCTACAAACTTGTGGTTTTACCTCTCGTACATGTGAACACAAACTGGCATGTGTGGCATGATGACTGCAACGTCACAAGAATCTAATTGAGACAGTCCAGGATTTAGTTTGAAGTTGATAGATTTTTCTGCACCAGATCCTTCACTGATTAATACCACAGCAAACATTTCAACCTAGTTCATACTTTGTTTCAAGCAGGTTCATGGAATTTGACCCAAGTTTAACCCTGTGCAGATATGAAAAAAGAAGATTCCAGACTTGTGGAAAAAAAGTTTTTAGGCATTTAAAGGGGCTAAATATGAAATACTGCATGGTGCTTGGATGCATACTGATTATACATCTGGCTTGTACAGGAGCCAGATTTGTAAAAGTAAAGGACTGAAGATCCTATTTTTTCTTAGACATGCAGTATGATAAAATTTTATTTTTTTAAAAAATAATTTATGCCTAAAAATTAAAAGGTATTTTCTTTAATACCATTATGATCAATCTTATTAAATAAATATTTGACTAATACTATATAGTGTTTATAAAGAACAATTAGTAAACTAGTAGCTGTCTCTTTAGTAATTGGATAGTTGTATTGATTAGGACTACTAAAAATGATTTTTTCCCATTTCGTCTGTAAATGTTAAATGCTTCTTTCAGATTCACAGAATGTATCCCCCACAGTTGAATGAGTATATGATGGGTCCTCCATGTCTTTGCAGCAGTGATGAACTGTTTATAAGTCTGTGCAGGAGATATACAGGTGGGAAAGCACTGAGAAGTGGCATGTTAGCTGCCAAACAGATGAAAAGAGTGAAGTCTGTGTATCAGAGCATTCACAAATGTAGGGCTTGTTGTCAGCAACTGCTGTGCAAGTGTATTATATTAATAAGACACTGGGGTTTTTGTTCCATTTCTCTTGACACTTTAGCTTACGAACTTGAAAGTGTAACTATACCCAATGCTATTTATGTGTGTATGCACACCTTTAGCAAGTACCTAATACACATCGCTATGTATGTGTGTGTACCTGTGCTTGGAGGGCTCTGTTGTTGGGGTTCTTGGATTTGTAAATGTTCTCATCGTTATAGTCTAACTTTGGCTCGAAAAATGCCGTTTCATTATCCATGAAATTCCATTCATCTTTGTCTTGCAAATAAAATGTAAGAAATCACTTGATCCTCTCCCCACCTCTTGTGTTCTTCAGGAAAATTTTGGCAGCCTTTTGAATAATAAATAGCTACACAACGATTTTAAGCATACGCTTGTGGCATTGCCACATTGCTAAATACTTACTGGAGAAATGAAAAGGCAGACGAGATTCTTGACTCTTCCTCACCATGCTGGAGTGTTTAACCTCACTTCCGTACACATTGATCTTGAGGCCTGTGGCTAAAGAGCATATTTTTTCATGCTAGCTGATACTTATATTTACTAGCTTGAGTAGCAGCAATCTGTTTTACAGCGTTGAAGGATGAGAGTACAGTTCCTCTTGTCAGTTCCATTTTGGGGGGAAGGAAAGGAGATATTTAGTGATAGGAATAACCAGATTTGTTCCTGTTCCTGTCTTCAGATTCCCTCTGGAGCTTGGAAATTGCCTTCAGAAGACCATACAAAAAATATCATTTGACTGCCAATCAAGTACAGCCTAGTGAGAATAAGTTGTGATGTGACTGTCTTGGTTCATTGTCTACATGTGTCCATATAGTCTTTAATTACTTGGCCAAATCCTGGTTTGTCTTATGGTAGCCAGTGAATCACACAGATGCAAGGGGACTGGAGTTCAGGTTGCAGAGGCACAGCCAGAAATCTGTAACTGTTCTGTATTCGACTTGCAAACTGAAGTGCCGATTCGTCAATATCCATTCGATTTTTTAATGAATAATTAGTCTACCTATGCACATAAATCTAAACTGCAAAAAGGACTACAAGGCAGTATATCCTGAAGCCAATTTCAGTTCAGTTCAGGAGAACTTAATGAAGGAGTTATTCTGTGATCAATTTTTGATCTGATTTTGAAACAGGACAGTTTTGATTTCTTGCAGTGTAATGCAAAATTGTCAGAGATAAGCATGTTCCCTTGACAGCATGTTGTTCATACAGTTTCAAGAAGTCAGACCATATTCTGACCACAGGACATAGGCAGACTGCGCCCTGCAGAGTTATTTTGCCCTTTTTCTGCCTGTTGACTGCAAGATCTCTTACCAGCCTGTTGTGCTAGCACAAATTGTTGCTGATTTGGAGTTCTAATAGGGTGTTCGAACAAGTGTGACCACCTCTTCCCTTCCCACCTTCTATTGAGGTTAAGAGGATGTATGTTTGAATAGTTAGTTATTGGATGCATTTGATACAAGCGTGTACTGAATAACTTTTTTCCTTCAAAATTTAGGGAATTTTCTTAACAAACACTCCAGGATTTGAAATAGCAATGACCAAGAACAACACATACAGCTATTTCTATTGCAGATGGATCAGCAGCTAATGGAAGTTACTTGTTTTCATGTTTTGTCAAAGTAATCACAAACTCACACAGATTCATCAAGGTTGGAAGAGACCTTCAAGATGATCTAGTCCAATCGTCAACCCAGCACCACCACAATCAACCCGAAACTATGTGTCTAAGTTCCACATCCAGATGCCTCTTGAACATTTCCAGAGATGGTGATTCCACCACCTCCCCCGTCAACTTATTCCACCTGACCAATGTCCTAGTGAAAAAATATCTTCTAGTATCTAATCTGAACCTTCCCTGGTGCACCTTAAGGCTGTTTCCTCACATCCTTTCACTGGAGACATGGCAGAAGAGATCCCAACTCACTGCAACCTCCTTTCAGGTAGTTGTGGAGAGCAGTGAGGTGCCTCTTGAGGCTCATCTTCTCCAGATTAATTGACCACAGCTCCCTCAGCCACTCCTCATAAGACATGTTTTATAGAACTTGATATAAAGACAGTTGTTTACAACCACTTATGAAATTAGTTGCTTGATATTTTCCACACAAGTGCTTTGCAGTGTTTTTACTGCTTGATGCTAATAGTAATTTTATTTTTAATCCAGAGAAGTTCTCTGGATAGAAGGGGGAGATTTTTTGCTTAATCAAGATATTCTTACTCTCCATAGGGTTAATTCAGGGGTGCAGGTAGGGAGGGTTTTATGTTCATTGGCCTGTGTAGTTCCTCAGTCAAAAGGTATGGGTACTAAGGGAGTGGATTCAATGTACCTTAAATTGCTCTTTTTAGGAGCTGTGTTCTGCAGCCTTTCCATTTCCAGCGTTTTAAGATGGGATGCCAATCTCAGCTGGTCCAAAAAATTTGTGTATGAGGGAAGATGGATGAAGAAAAGAAAGAATGGTCTTGGCAGCTACCTCTGGACTTTTGTCCAAAACTGAATCATAGAAATGTCAAACTAAGGGAGAAATAACTAGCCAGAGGGATTACAGAAGCAGGATTTTGATGACCTGCATAGTCATAATGTGAAGTACACAACTGGTCTGTGGTCAGCAGTAACACCAGGATAACTTTCATTAGATGTTAGAGATACATGGGGCAGAGTAATCGGTGGGGAATTATACTGCAAATTGTCTGCTTTTCAAACAGTATGGGAAGCCATGTAATAGCACATCTCTCTGTGGCATACCAGGTATGCCTTGGTCACCTTTGACACAGACGTCCAGCAAGTCCTGTAAATTATCTGGTGGAAGAGTATGTGCCCTCCCTACCTTGGTGCTAATTTCCAGTCATCCTCTCCCCCTGCTATGTGAACCATTTCTGAAGACATAAATTAATTTTTCTTTGCTTATCGTTAAGCACATTTCTTCATACTTGGTTGACATGAACAAAATTTAATTAGTATGTTCTTAAAGTATTTCTCAGGTGTTGCAAGTGTGCTGTCATACATATTCCCCTACAGGTTTTGTTTTTTCATAAAACCAGTGAAGCCCTGGCATTCTTTGCTATCTTACGTGCTTTGTTCTTGCTGTCATTTGGAGTAATCTTGCTTAGGTTAGTTTCCCAGGAAGAGAATATTAAGGTTGCACATCACTGTGCTAGTTATAGCAGATCAGGTAGATGTCAATGAGTACTTGTCATAGAATCATAGCATGTTTTGAATTTGAAGGGACCTTAAAGGTCATGTCGTTCCAATCCCACTGCCATGGGCAGGGCCACCTCCCACTAGACTTATGTTGCTCAGGGCCCCATCCAGCCTGGCATTGAATACCCCTAGGGATCCTACTTAGTATGATAGTTCTGTAGAGCCAGCTTCTCATGAGCCTGAGATGTGGTGACTCTTAACAAACAGATTTCCTACTCCCGAGATGACGGGCAACATTAGACTTGTACAGACAGTGTTTCTCTGATCAGAAGTTGGCACAAATTTCTCATTAGCAGACTGAAGGGTGTCAGTATGCTAATAAATAGGAATATACGAGGAAATAAAGAATTGCAATTGTCCTATATTAATTTTCCATGTTAAGTAACTAATTTCCATAATTATCTGTCTTGCAGTACTGGCTGGATCCTGCGAAGACTCTTGCTGAACATAAAGAATTGATAAACAGTATGTATTTAATCTGTTCTTAAAGGAGGTATCTGAAGATGAAGTAACAATGTTACATCTGTACAGCCTGCACAATATTTACATTCTAGTCACAACAGATTGGTAATTCTTGAACAAGTTTGTTATTGCGGTTCTCAGCTGTACAAAAATTTCACACATATATTGCACATACTATCATTTGACAGCATTTTGTGTGATTTTTGTCCCAAGATTTTTCTATGCTTAAATTTTATTTTAGACTAATAAGTGGTACTATTTTTAACTTTTGTATTTAATTTTATAGCAGCTGTGATTGCTCTACTATACTGTGGCATACCATAACCAACTTACATTCCATTTTGCTTCTGCCTCTTACTGATAATAGAATGTCTGCTATTACTGTCAGTCTTCAGATATTGCAGATACTAAATCTGTTGTTTTTATTATAGTTAAAGAACATGATAAAATTATTATACTTAAGGATTTGGAGAACTTTTACAAAAAGATGCAGAAGTGGAGCATGCATGGAATAAATGTAGCTGTAAGAATTTTGGTACTGAGTTATCTGAATCTTTTGGGAGAATAACATTCGTAAAAGGTGAATTAGAGGAGCTTTTCCAAATATTTCTTAATTGAATTGGCACGTAATTAAAGTTGCTCCGTAAGATATTTGAAAGTGTGGAAGGGATTAGTATTCAATATTATTAGTTATGACAGGGAATCACATTTCATGCACAATTAAATTTTTCAAAAAACTTCAGTGGAAAAAGTATTTAAAGGTCAAAATCAAGCAGCAAAAAAATTGTGAGAAATAGTAAGAGAGCAATGAATACTAAAGTGAAATCTTCAAAATAAGTAAAGATTCCAAATAGACAAGATGTGAATAAACAAAAGACTAGAAAAATAATAATAAAAATCTTTTTTTTCCCCATGTAATGAGTATAGATGTATGGATTTGCTATGTGGATATTTTTTCTGAAACTTTCAAGTTTCAAAAAATATTAAGATAGGCTTTTAGATGCTGTTTTGTAGTCAACTAGTAACAACAACAATTAATAGTTCATGATAACTAAGTTTTACACCTAATGTTTTTTCCCTCAGCTGGACCACCATACACACTGTATTTTGGCATTAAATTTTATGCAGAGGATCCATGTAAACTTAAAGAAGAAATAACAAGGTACAGTATTCAATAAAAGTGTAGTTTTTTGATCACAGGCTAGTAATGTATTTCAGCCAGGTGCATATTGTTGTGGTATGTCTGGCTTGCTTTGGTTTTCTTTTTTTCTTGAACATCTGAAAGCTTTTGCTTGAACATTGGTATTTATATTGTGCTGTAATCAAGTTTAGAGTTTATGTGGTTATCAAATATAAATACTTGATATGAATGAAAGATAAATTTTCTTCTTCATTGGCCATAGCTTAAATTCCAGAATGGTTTTTCAAGAGGATTCCTTTTGGTCTTTCTAAAAATATGTGAAGGAAATTGAAAAGTTGCATGCTTCTGATTCTTTCACCTAACCTTGGCCTCTACAAACTATGAGGATGCACACAGTAACACATGCACATGCATGCACACAGGCACATTCACACACATGGTTATCTGAACTCTTTCACACAGTGTCTTCTGTTTGTTTTATTTATGAAATATCTCAGACAGCTCTAGGTTCAAAAGGAAATGTGATAATTTGGATACATAGGCAGACAAAATTAGTGCATTATCTTCCATTAACAAGTGCTTAAATACTTCTTTAGATGTCCTAAGAATGTGACACATGAGAATTCATTTGAATGCATGCAAGGTTTTTAATTTTCCTTAATCAAAGGTGGCAGTTGTTGCAGCACAGGCAGAATAATTTTCTTATACCATAGTGAGAAATTTCTTCTGTTTCCATACTGGAACAACAGGAATAGAAGTCTTCAATACAACGAGGCCAAGGCTGACCTGGTAAAATTAATAAATGCTGTGACTTTGCTGGTAAGACTCTAAGCTGGTGGCAATGGGATGCCCCTGTACCATGGAAGTTTGATGAAGTTTTCTTGTATTTTTACAGAAACATTTAAATCCTGCTCACAGGGAAAGACAGATGGCCCTGGGAAGAGAACTCTGGCCACCAAACCTGTTGTGATTTCCTCCCAGGAGGCAGGGTGGAGGCAGGGGGCTAAATTTAAAGAAACTGTTTCTCTTTGCCCCATCATAAGGGCAGTCAGTGATCTGCACTGCTGATTAGGTGTGCGAGTACAGTCAAGAAATGTTTTAGTGTGCTTAGTAAGCCTCTGTTCATGTCTGCACAGTATATGGTCAGGCAGAATTGATATCTTAGGTGGTGCTGGGGGGGGGGTCTAAGAAAGCTCTATGACAGTCTTCTGCAAAACACATAGAGTTGCCATATACCCTCAATATATATGAGCATTTATTCCTGCAGACTCTTAAATTTTGCAAGGAAGGCTTTTTTCCCCCAGAAGAAAACCCCCCAAAAGCCCCAAATCCACAAATAAACCAACCAACACCCCCCCCCAACCCAAAAAAATACCCCACACAACCCACCTCCTTAGAATTGTTTAGGCTGGAAGGAACCCTTAAAGGTCCTTCCACTTAGGAAGCATTAAAAGCCCTGTTTTTCTTTATAATAATTTCTGCTCCCATGTGTAAATCCAGTGATGTGTTAGCTGTTTTTTGCTAATGAATGTGTTTCTTTGGAGCATGTATTTGCTGCTTTAATGGATATAAGAACAAACTCTATTGTTATGAGATGCTGATGATCTGTGGCATTACATGATTACTCTTTGCAAATAATGAAAACCTGTCAAATTTGTAATTGCTTCACAGCAAAATCCGTCTGGCTTGTAGGCAGAAGTTAACACAGCGGTGTTTGCTCGATGTGTTTGTTAGAGCAAACTAGCACTTTGGCAGTATAATATATGCATGACAAACTTGACAGCACACAAGATGAAAGTACTTTAGCTACAGCTTTGGATAAAAAGTCTGGTTTTGTGAGGAACTTAGCGGCTTCAGTGGGAATTGAGATTGTTCACTTTGTACAATGCGATTGTTCACTCTCTCCTCAGAGAGGAATACAGGTTTTTACTATCATAGTTATGATACATGATATGTCTAGAGTAAACTGGATGATGTTGAAACAATGATTGGTGCATCAGACTTGAAATAACAGCGTTGCTTTCTCTTTGTGTTTTAGGTATCAGTTTTTCTTGCAGGTAAAGCAAGATGTTTTACAGGGCCGTTTGCCTTGTCCTATCAACACTGCAGCACAGCTGGGAGCATATATAATTCAGTGTAAGTTCTTATGGCCAACTGAGAGCTTAGTTCTTTTAATCCTGCATTATGGTTAATTTTTAGTGGTTACTGAAGACATCATTAACACTTTATGCTTTCATTTCAAAACAGAACAAAACTAATGTGATTGATTTAATCTAAAGAATTGTAAGTAGATGACCATTCTGAACAGATAATGCAGAAGCAATGTGGAAGTTAATGCAAAGAAGAAACTGAAGTCAGTCTGAAGACTGCTAAACACTCTTTGCCTTGCTGAGGAATGTCTTATCATGTATTCATGACTTTATGACTGACTCTGTATTACATGTAGATTATGACAAAGCCTTCATCAGGAGATTTACAGATTTGAAATGCTATTGGCAGCCTCCAAACACAGAGTCTGTAAAAAAAAAATTCTTTCAAAACTCACATTATGTCAATATGAATGCATCTATGCTTGAAGCGAGGATGTGATTTGACCTGAAGAATTTTAATTTTATTTATCATTTTTCTACATTCACCCATCTGTAGTGACCTTTTCAGAGGTGGATGTTATATCCTGCAAACTTGATAGAACAAGCAATCAATTAGAAAGGAGTTGTTTGTATAACAGTTCATTATTCTTTTGCCTTTACAGCTCAAGCTTTATATTCAAACAAAATTGGTAATGAAAAATCATGTGATGAGCTGTGCTGGGACATGTATCTCTAGTTTGTTCTATGTTAAGTGTAGATTTCTCTTTAGTGATATGTATTAAACAAAGGTTATTGTACTATTGGTGTAACAAGTGTGACTCAACAACACTGAGAACATATAAAACAGTCTTCTTTTCATGCCCATTTTAGAATAGAAAGCAGAATAACTTCTGTATGAAGTGAGAATGGACAGTATACAGAATTTCATGATGTATTATGGGTGTCTTCGAAAAGCTAAAGTTCAGGCAGTTTTATTTGTGTCCAAATATTTCTGACTTAATTTTGCCATCTATGAAATATGAAATGTCTTACTCTGAAAAAATATTTGCAATGCACATTTCACTTTACTGGCATACATACCTTCCCTGAAAAAATACCAGAAGAATAAAACAGGAAAATAAGCAATGATGATACCATCTTCATCATGTTATGAGAAATGAGTAAAAAGAATAAATGTGTCCTTCAGTAATTTTTAAGGTGGTTAGAACTGTTGTTTTGGTCTAATATCCTGTTCCTGTGATTCTAATCTCAGATATTCTGTTGGAAAACAATGAGGAAACCTATGAGGGAGAGGAGAGTTAAAGCATGGCAAAGATTACATACAGTGGGTTAAAGTTAGTCCAGGCACCAGCAAGCATACATTCCCATTAACTCTATAAAAAGCTTTATTCTTTTATTTAGGGCTTGCAGTTGTTCAAAGTATGTAAAGACACCTGAGAAATGTCTGTGTCAGACACTGAACATATGAACCCAAGGAATCAGCACGGAGATCAACAGCCTTTTCAAGGGTGGCATGCTGGACCATGCTTTTGTTCTTTTCCAAACTGAGATGAAGTGTGTTTGTGGGAATCCAGAAATAGCTGAGAGGCTCTGCTGGTGTAATAATACCAGTAGCATCTTTCCCGGTGGAGCTAGCGGCTGCCGAGATCCTGTGGAGAAGCCGGGGCCACATATTTTACCACTTCTCTATGTATGTAATGCTCCAGCCACAGGCCCAGCTTTCACCATTCAGGTTATGTCTGGGTGTCATCTTTGGCCTCTGAACAGATCCTTTCATCAGCACAGGAGCTGTTTTCCTCCTTTCGTGATCAAAGACTGCAGATTATTACAGTGACGATGGTGGAAAAATCAGTGCCCATAGCAGTTTCCAGAATAGACCAGCTTTCCTATTGGGAATTCTGGAGTTGTTGCTGTTGTAGTAATTCCTGTTCTTATTCCTGCTATGGGCACATCATTTTTATGGAGATTTTCCAGAGAAACTTCTTAACATCCCTATCAAACAGATAATTGACTTTTTCTAGCAATGTCATTCCAACATTCTGGTTGAGTCTTTTTCTTCTTGGCTCTTGAAACCAATTTTCAGATAGAAACCTTCTCTGAAGTCCTCCTCAGACAAGCCCAGTCTACACATACATTACTCAGGTTTATTAAAAAATTGAAATACTAAATTTGCAGAGTTTCTCAGAGAGGTGCAATTACAGTTAAGAGCAGTAGATGTGAAATCTGACCAAGGTGCATATTTATTTTATAATTACATTGCAACATGTAAACAGATGACTAATGTATACAAATTCATGGTTGTTTCAAAGAAAATTCTATTGGCTATTCATCATATTCTTTTCTTTAAGAAAATTCTTTTAAATGTTATTTTTACTTTGAAAAAGAATGTAATGTTTAGTAAATGCATCATTATTTTATTGAAAAAGGAAGTCTTGGGTTTCCTCACAAGGAGCAACACTTATCATTAGACCGTTCTGCCAGGTGTCTTGGGATATTTTCCTCCATTTGCATTCCCACACAGAAATTTGTGTTAGAACTCCCAGCAATAATATGGATCGGTTCTGTCTGTAATATTATATCTTATCATGAGGGCAGAGATATTATAAAACAAGACTTTCCTACTGCATTCGTTTTATTTATGCTGTCAAATAATCAATGTCACTGAATTTCAATTTTGCTGACTTGGTCAAAATTATGTCCAGTCCTGTAGAAGCATTTCTTGTCAAAGCTTCTAGCTCTTTGAAACTTCTATTTTTCTTTTAAAATGATTGAAGACATTTTTTTCTTGGTTTTATGTGGGCTACGGTGAATAGTTCTGTACTCTGTTTTTTTGTGTGACTGCAGAGTAAAGAGTTGGAAAGAGGTGGCTTGACACAAGTAGGTGGATTATATATTACATTTTTTTTGGTTAAGGTAAAGAATTGAAAACAAGTGACCTTTGTTTTCTTCTTGTGTCCTCTAGCTGAGCTGGGGGACTATGACCCATATAAGCACACTGCAGGTTATGTCTCGGAGTACCGCTTTGTTCCAGACCAGAAGGAAGAGCTGGAGGATGCCATAGAGCAGATACACAAAACTCTAATGTAAGAATTCAATACTCTTGGGAACTTGGCAGGTAACATCAGATTCAGAGATACTTGGTAGGTGGGGAGGTACACCTTGTGGTGCAGAATGAAGGTCTCTAGACAAGAGGAAAGAACACATGCCTCTCAGAAACAGAAAGTATTTTATGTAACTGAAATTGTTCTTTTAGTAAGTGGAGGTAGGAGGGCTGTCAGACCTAAATATGGGTGGTTTTGAACAAGCAGTTTTAATAAAACATATGCCAGAAGCTCAACCATACATAAGGCCAAAATAAACATTTACTAGCTTATCTCCAAATTCATGTTCCTGGTAAGTGTAAAGAAGCTTGTTCTAACAAATCCAAGTTAGGTGGAATTGTGATATAACCTTTTATTAAGATCAGAGCAATGACAGACATTTTATGAGTGTGTTCATCATACCCTTTGTCGAAGTAATGTGCAGATAACCAGTCGTTTTGTATGTAGATCTAGATTTCTTGATTCACTTGCTATAATGAAGCCAGAGTCTGGGTGAAGGTTAAATAATTTCTTGCCTGCTATATTGAGTATCGCTGTTTTTTGTGTCCTGTTTAGTGATAATAGTTATTAACTCAGAGTCATGGCTATTCTCTTTGAAAAATTCTCCAGTCATTGGAGTCTGTGCCAGCTGCCACATTGACCTGAGTTTTCTCTTCCAGGGAAGAGAGTCTGCTGCTCAGTAATTATTTCTGTGTGATTGCATGACAGCCTGATAGTAATTGATGTGTTTCAGAGAACTTACTACAGTGAAGAAAAAAAAGTGGGTTTTTCTTCTGTTTCAGAGATGGGAAACTGAGTCACAGACAGTTTGTTTGGTTCAATATCACAGAAGTTGTTTGTGAGAGATGAAATTTGAAATGAATTGCTGTGAACCAGGACACCATTACTAAGAGGCTTTCATTCCTCTCTCTCAAGTTTCTGGAGTCATTAGTGTAGTAAATCAGATTAAGGCCCATTTGCCACAAAGGGTTTGTAACATTGAGGATGAAATTCAGAAGCTAGTGGAACAGTGCTTGTGGAGAGGAATGATAGCTATCACAACACAATCTCTAGTGTTTTTTTATGCTTATTGGTCTAGAGCTCTGATACTCTTTTGCTGCTTGGCTGCAAGTAGGCATCAGGGATTTAGCAGTGCCAGAACAGAGAGTAAAATTAAGATGTACCCATTGCTATTTCAGTCCGAATGTCACCATCAGCATTGCCAGGAGAGAATTCTGCATGGGTGACAGTGGTCTCTTTAGTTAAGGTATTTTAAGCTATAATGGCTGAGGGCATCCCAAACTATCTTACTGACCAGAGATATTTTAGGGACAGGTTTGTGATATGGCTTAGAAGAATTGTTTTATTCTCTCTGTATCCCAGCACAGAAACAGAGGGGATTTTATTTCAGGACTGCTGTGGCACTGCATATACCTTGTGTCTGCTAGATGTGTCAGGATGAACTATTTTTGTTTGCAGGTTTTGTCTCAGTTTTTTACACAGCACGATAGCTATTCAGGGAGTCAGAAAGGATGCAGTTTTTTGAGCAAGTTTCTACATCAAGAAAGGTGAGGGAAGTCAGAAGTGAAGGGAGTTTCTGATTGTATCAAGTCTCTTCAGCCTGCCTACTGTGATTGTTGTCCCATCTATAAACCAGCATGAAAACAGCAAGGTCAGAGAGCAGTGTGAGGTGACCTTAGGCTGTCATGCACATCTGGAGGATCAGGCAGTGACTTTGGGGTTTAGCATGAGGAACCAAATGTGTGTGGTGCTGGAGGAAGGATATGATCCCTCAGTGCAAACACAAGAGCGTGTATTGGCCTGTTGGTATTGCCCATTTCAAACTGCACCAGATCTGCAAGTGACTGATACTTAGCAGTTGTTTGCATGTTTTGAATCGATATTTCATGCTGCCAACAGGGCATAAGGAAAGCAAAAATGCTTCTGATACTTAGCTTTGAGAGTAGCTTTCAATACTGTTTAGGGTCTCAGGTGGCACACAGGTGGTTTTTGTTAATCTAAAGGAGTGTGCATATCAGCTGCATGGCTCTAACATTGCCTGCTCTGTCATTACCAATGACAAAGACTGGTTTAGTTTTGGGATGTGTGATGCTGGGGAGAGTTTGTATTTTCATACACAATGAAAATTAAACATTTGGTCCTTGTAATGGTGGGAATTGTTTCAGTCCCCAACAGTCTCTCTTCCCTTCATGTTCTGGCTTCTTCATCTGCACGTGGGAGGGCTTCTTCCTTCAGTTTCTATCGGCTTCCTTCAGAAGCTCCATCATTACTTCCTTTAATATTTTTGCAAATAGAATTTCTTATACGTTATATATTACTGTGAAATTATTCACACACACACGTATTTGACATTTGAGCTTTTTGGTACTTTCAGATAGAGGTGAGAATGGAGGAATATGCACATCATCATTTTTCTACATATAGTCATATAGGAATGACTTAACAGCAGTATTTAAATTCATATTGGATTCTAGCACCAATTCAGTAATGGAGTAATCCTCTTTGCTCAGAATTGATACTTAGCCTGTGTGGAAACTCAGTGAGACAACACTGTTCCAGTGAACATTTTGCTTACATTTCTGGGAGCTACTAGCAAGACTGTAAAAGAATCAATCATGGAGTAAATTTTTAGAGCAAAAGTGGATAAAAGATTTGACAGATGTGATGGTGCTGATGTGCTGAATATCCAGTATTCTGTGTAATCTGAATACAGATAAAGAAGGACATATCTACTGGGAAATCCTGCTCTTGAAGAAAGGGATTTCTCTTACAAACTTCAGGTCTGCTGCCTTTCCAGAAGTCCTTGGAAAGAAGAGCTAACACCTGAAACACTGGCAGTGCTGCTATGTGGATAAGATGACCTGAAGTAGCCCATCTCCCTGATAGAAAGAAGGCATTTTAAATACCTATATTATTGCATTTTTCTAGCACTGCTGTTTCACATCTTCGATTTGGATGAGTTTTTTACCTGATCAGGCATAACACAAAGCTGGGACAACCTGGACAGTAGCTGCTAGACTAGAGGGAATGGGGAGACAAGAAGCAAGAATGTGCACATTGCAGGACTTTTCCAGGTCTTGAGTTAAAATGTTGAGTTCTGCTTCCACCTTGAATTTGAAAGGCAGCAAATCCAGTGTAGTATTTCCCTGAAAGAACAGTCACAGGGTGAAGGAGGAGTTGCATCTTTATGAGTTGATACTTTCACAAGATGTGCTGTACTTTCCTGATAAGAGTCCAGTAGCTTTTGCAGAAGTATTGAACAGGAGTGAAGAAATGCAACCTCAATTATTTAAAGCTTACAAAACAGAATCTTGCTTTTGTATCAATGGCAGATATCAAGGGAAGAGCAAATTAAATTTCGAGGATAAGTCTTAGAATTTATTTAGTAATTTTGTCCTTTTTGAAAAAAAGTCCTTTGTCAGTTATGTCAAATATGTTCCTAGGTTTTTTTTCCTCCCCACCAGTTTTCCCTACTTGTTTCCTACCAGCATGCAGCTGATAGTACTTTTTAACTGATGGATTAATATCTGCAGATAGGAAGGCAGGCTGGATCTTTGAAACTGCTAATCTCATGAGACAGACTCCAAACTGTGTTCTCACAGCAGCAGACATGGGTACTGCCAGTTGGTGTGACTTTCTGTAGGCAAGATTTTATGAAGAAAGGTATGTTTTATTTGAAGTCATGAACCTTGTTTACAGAAATACTTTGTAGTTTCACTAATGCTATTGAGAAATAGTACCCCAGTTGTACAATTCCTGCTTTATTATTAGTCATGTAGTTATTTGGGATAAAGAAGTTATTTTGCATATTGAAGCCTAAAAATGGAATGTCTGAAGTGTGTTTGTGACAGAGAAAAGAATAGCTACAATAATAGGCTCATATTGTGTATATGATAGCATATCTCTGTGGTAGGAAACCACCAGAGATCTAGTCTTAGTTGGAGGACTATGGCAGTCTAAACAACGGGTTGGAAGGGCTGCATATGTGTCCAGCAAACTGTATTCATTGATATGATATATTTTTACGTGGTGACTGGGA